ATTTTTCTACGTTTAACGAGGTTCTCAAGATTGTCTTTGTGGCCTATTACATGATCAAATGTCTTAATGTTCATGGTTATTATACAGAAGGTTGGGCAGATTGATTGTTCACTTTCGTTAAAGAACAATTCTTGGAGCTTCATTATAGAGGTGAAAGTGGCAACTTCTAGCCAATCTATGAGGTGCTGGAGGAGAATCTACAAATGAACTTTTAAAATTTTATTTTATTTTATTTTATTGTTGACAGTTTTACAGATGTCTCTGATTTTCTCCCTTTTTGCCCCCCTCCACCCAGTAACTTACCTAAGGCCCACTTCTGCTCTTTCTCCTTTTTCTTTTTTTATTCCTTATTGATTAAGGTATTACATATGTGTCCTTATCCCCCCATTGCCCCCCCACCTCCCAGTTCATACCCTCACCCCCCTAGTGTCTGTATCCATTGGTTATGCTTATATGCATGCATACAAGTCCTTTGGCTGATCTCTCCCCCTTCCCCCACCCTCCCCTGCTTTCCCTCTGAGTTTTGACAGTCTGATCAATGCTTCTCTGTCTCTGGATCTGTGTTTGTTCATCCATTTATGTTGTTCATTATTTTCCACAAATGAGTGAGATCATGTGGTATTTATTTCTCTGACTGACTTACTTCGCTTAGAATAATGCTCTCCAGGTCCATCCATGCTGTTGTGAATGGTAGGAGTTTCTTCCTTTTTACAGCAGCATAGTATTCTCTCTTTCTCCTTTTTCATTCTGAGATTGGAGTTTTTTAAAAAGACAGTTACAAAGAACAGCTCTTGCCTCTGGTGATTCGAACTGCAATTTTGTCTCCTTGGATTTCTATCAATTTGATTCCACCTTTCTGTCTACCAGGAGTGCCTCAGTATTTCTGGTGGCCCACCAGCACCTTTTCTTGTTTTCCTGTACTGTTAAAAAATTATCCTTGTCTGGCCGTCATGGCTCAGTGGTTGAGTATCAACCAGGAGATCATGGTTCAATTCCCAATCAGGGCATATGCCCAAGTTGCAGCTCGATCCCCAGTAAGGGGTGTGCAGGAGGCAGCGGATCAATGTTTCCCTCTCATTGATGCTTTTATTTCTCTATCCCTCTCCCTTCCTCTCTCTCTCTAAAAATCAATAAAAACATATATTTTTTAAAAAGTCTCCAAACAAACAATACAGAGAAACTACACAGAATAGTACACGAGAGGGAGGAAGGAAGGAGAATTTGCCTGGCTCAGTCCGTTTCTTTTCTTAATGGTCCAAATGTACCTAACAGATATTAACTCCCCCATATTTCTAGACTGCATCATCTGGCCCCTGGGGCAGCTGTTTTGGAAAACAGATACCACACTTTGAGGTGTAGTGTTTCATACATTCCAAATATGGTGGAAGGAGCCGGAAAGTTCAAGTGTGCAGCTCACTGGCCTGTCTTTACAGGAGCATCCAAATGTGAGAACCAAATGCCCCCAGGCAAGTCCTAAATTCACCTGGTAATTGTAATAGTCAGCTGTGCTAGCTAATTTCCTTTTTCTGAAAGAAAAATTAAACTATGTCTATGTCAAGCGACTGAACTGTTTATAGCTTGGAGCCAGGCACCTAGGGTAAACTCCCAGGTGAGAGAGTGATATTTCAAAGAGATGGGTCCAAGGCTCTTAAGAAAGTCATTCATGGGTTATGGGCTGGCAAGAGACTCATTTAGCTTTTAAAAAGATGTACATATATATCAAAGTGAGTAGTTTGTAGCTGTCTAAATATCCAGTAAGGTTCAAAGTAAAGCAATTATCAGAATTGCAATAGAATGAATTTTTAAATTCGATATAATACTCATCTTGGGGGCAAAAAGAACTTTAAATTTAAAAAGCATTTACAATGGTGAATGATTAAAGCAGATTCTTGCTTAACAATACACAAAAATTCCCCTTCTTCTTGTCACTGGGTTGTGCCACCACATCATTAATTAATCTTTAAACTTCTACTGACTTTCTTGTATTCTCTCCAACATATCCCCTGACAAAAAGCAGGCTGAACTAGTAAAAAAAAAAAAAGGTGGAAATTCCAGGGCTAGCTAAGCCTGCTCACGGGAATCAAATGAGAAATCCAAGGACCACCCCCAAGAAATCTATTTGCACCGGAAAAATCCAAGATGGCACCTGAAACCCCTTCCCAAGCCAAGTTATATATAGCTAGATATGTTCCAAACATGTTTGGGAACTGCACATGCTCCCTTGGAAATCCAAGATCCCTCCACCTGTTATGGACAGCTTCCGCAAGGGAATGGGGGAGGGAGGCTGGCCCTACCCCTGCACAGTGGGGGACCTTTCAAGTGTCAGGGGACTTCCAGGTCCTTGACTCGCCCAGAAAAAATGTCAAGGAAGAACTGAAGTGAGAACAAAGCAAGTTTTATTCAGATAGAGAAAAAGAAAGAGGCCAGGGTGTGGGCACTCTGAAAGAAGCAAAAAGTATGCATTCAAGTGGACATAGGCCAAACCACAAGTTCGGTGCTCTGTGGTCAATTACTTCTTGGGATTTTGTTTCTAAGGGGAGGATTGTCACCAAGCTTTGTGGCGCCAAATTCTGACTCCGCCTTCTGGTTGGAGGGGGCCTTGTTGTGACTTCAATGACCACCACAGGAGTTTCCTGCCATTAACTGTTTCCCTTTGATCAAGCCCAGAGTTGGGGACTCCGGTGAGAGGATGTGAGTTCCTACTTCCTCACTATACTTGTCAGGATTTTTCTGGAACTTCTTTCTATCCTGCCTCACATCCTTCCTTGGGAATCCCCACCCCTGAACTGACCTACCCCACCACCACCGCCACCACCCTTTAATACTTTCCTAATTTCCCAGAATCAAGGAGAAGGAATCATTAGGCATTCAATTATCCTTCTCCATTCTTTGGCCAAGAATAAAGTTTCTGACTTGCTTTGCCGAATATTGTCTGTGAACAAAACCCAGCAGGACAAGCACCATTAAGGGTGAGGTGTTATTCATTGTAATTGCCTACCCCAGAGGATGGAGGGCTAGGGAAGGAATGCCTAGTTACTAGCCAGCCAGGCTGAACTTTTCTATGAGCTTTTCAACTCCACTATGCCTTGATGTGACCATGCCACCTCAGACTCCACTGAGCCAGCCCTGCCATTTTTCTACTCTGTGGTGTTTACAGGACAGGTAATGAGCCTTCCAAAAAATATGAGCTTTTCTGGATACAATTAGAAAGCTCCACCTCAGCTTATTCTCCATCTGTGGCCTCTAACCTTTTCCCACTCTAAGCCATCTCATCCCCCAATGAGGACCAAACCATCAAGTTTTATTGCTAGAAATAGTCCTGAAATCCAAATACCTCCTCAACTCTTCTGTGGCATCTGCAGGCCTGGGTTTAGGGAAGGAAGCCAACAACTATTGCTGGTTCACCATCTTCATCTAAAACCAGATATGCCTTTACATTTTAATATGACATTTTAAGTCATTACTAACAATAAAAAATATACATAGCACTGATCACATGACAGGTGTTATTCTAAGGTGTTATATATATTAACTCATTTAATCATCATAGCAATCCAATTAGTTGGATACCCTAGTTATTCCTGGTTTACTTGAGTAGACTGAGGCACAGAAAGGTTATTTGACTTAAAAAAGGTTACACAGTTAGTAAGGTAAGAAACCAGATTTGAAACCATGCAGCTTGGCTTTGGAGTTTACACTCTAAAAGGCAAGTGCTCTTAACTATTCTACAATTCTACCATTACTTAGAATCTATATCCATCCCTTTTTTGTTGTTAATCCTCACCCAAGGATACTTTTTCCACTGATTTTTTTAGAAAGAGTGGAAGGGGAGAGGGAGGGAGGGAGGGAGAGAGAGAGAGAGAGAGAAAGAGAGAGAGAGGAACATCCATGTGAGAGGCACATCAATTGGTTACCTCCCCCACGCACCTGGATCGAACCTGCAACCCAGGTATGTGCCCTTGACCGGGAATCAAACCTTCAACCCTCCAGTGCTCAGGACAACGCTCTAACCACTGAGTACACTGGCCAGGGCAATATATAAAACAAAAACTCTTTTCTTTCCTGTACCTCCCCTCGTCTTCCATGTTTATATTACCTGGAACTTTAGTTTAAGATTTTAATTTTTAAAATTTATAATCAAAACTTAAACTTTTCAATAAATTTTATTGTTTTTCCCCTCACCATTGCTTATTGGAACTCCCTCCTTCCTCCTAAATCCATTTTTTTCTTCTTGCTGAATCACATACCATAATCCTTTCAGAAGAGGCATGTAAATGATGAATTTTCTGAAATATTTTTGCTTTCATATGGATTATCTTGGCTGGATATAGAAATCTAGGTTCAAAGTTATTTCTCATCATCTCTTTGAAGAACGTCTCCATTGTATTTTCTCCTCTTTTTTCTCTGGGACCTTGTGGAATCTTCACCTTATCCTTTAGAATTGTATCTTAAACCTAGAAATTGTATTTATTGAGTGTGTGTGTGTGTGTGTGTGTGTGTGTGTGCGCGTGCGTGCCTGTGTGCATTAATCATGTTCAAAACTTAGTGGCTCTTTTCAATTTGAAAATTCAAGTCTTTCTTCATATAATTTTCAAGTGTCACAAATTATGCCTTTGATTTTTTTTCAATCAATTAGAAATATGCAAACCATTCTTAGTTCAAGGGCCAAAAATAGACCATGGGTTGAATTTGGCCTGTGGGCCACAATTCGCCCATTCTGGTGCTAGAACATCAATTCCAGGGATAACTGTCTGCTTGATTCACTGCTGTATCTCCTGCACCTGAAACACTGCCTGGCACCTAGTAGGCTCTCAATAGATGTTTCTGAAATGAGCAAGTGAATGAAACAATGAGTTGGGTAGCAAGTTACTGAAGGAGTGGAGAAGTGAGTGAACACATGAGAGGCAGCTCATACTACTTCTCAGGGCCTCAGTTTACCCCTGTCTGAACCTAAGCAAGTTCCACCAAGAAGTTTTAGAAAGAGATCAGAAGGCTGAGGCAAGCGTTGAAACTAACATCTTTATTTTCCCCCTTTAACTTGAGGGTAATCCTTACAGATTCTACCAGGAGGAGGCAAAAAGGACTGGGCTGGGCAGGGGCTCTCCGAGGACCTGGCCTCCTCCTGCTCCTGTGGAGTTGAGATTAGGACCGTGATCCAAGCTCAGCATCCCTGGGGAGGACAGTAGACCACTCTGCAGTCTCTGTGACCACCTACTTCCGACAGCCATGTTAATGGGAATCAGCCACCTTCACACACCAGGCAGGAGGGACCTGGGAGAGTGGCCTCATCTTCCTCTATACACAGAGATGCATGCGCACAGGAGTCTGGCTGGAACAGGGCATGATCAGTGTCCAGACACATGGCTCCGGCCTGTGGCCCAGTTGAAAAACATGAAGCCTAGACTGATCACCATGAAGAGGACCCCCAAGACACCAAAACACAGAGCCTATGGACAAGAGGAAGAGAATATGAGACTGTATGGGTCACCACAGCAGAGCTCCTCCTGAGAATGTTCTCCAAGGCCCTCCAGAGAGTCCCCATTCATTTCTGACTCTCCTTTGTGCTCCTCTTTCCTTAAATCCAGACCATTCCTTGAATCTTCCTTCCATCTTCCTAGAACCCTTTAGGGAGTACTCTCCTCCATCCTCCTTGAAGGTTCTCCTGACTCTCTTCTAATAGTGCACCTTCCATCTGGAGAACACTCCCTCTATGCCAACCCCTTATTGAGTGTCCCCTCTGTCTTCCCAGACCCTGCTGGTGCTCTGTTTGCTCAGCCCCTCCCTAAGACAATCTCCTTCACTCTTTCAGACTAACCACCTTTCTCTCTGGATGAACCATCTTTGCCCAGGCCCCTCTTGAAAAAGTTGCTTCTATCTCTAGTCATCTTGGAGTGCTCCATTCTCAGAGCAACCACCTTTCCCCAGTCCTCCCCTGGAAAGCTCACCTGGATCTTGGGCAAAGAGGAGAGGGGCTCCACCTCAGAGGGTACAATACGGAGGTAGAAGACACTGGGAAGGATGAAGATGAGGCTGGGGGCTGAAGTGGACCCTGGAGTACAAGCAAGAGGAATAGGAGTCTATGTAAGTTTGGGGTTCAAAGCCCATATTAGATGGGGACTGGGGTTTGGGTACTGACCGATAACCCCAAAGATATCCCGGATGGTCGGTACGTAGATGACAAGGACATTAACCAAGATGAGCAGAATCACGGCTATGGCCACATGCCGTAGCCAGCTGAAGGCTTTGCTTGGGAAGAGCAGCTGCTGCAGGGCCCGGCGGATCTGTAGCCAGAGTAGGGTGGGACACAAGTCAGCGCCCAAATGCTGCCTCCCCCTCCTTGTGGTCATCTGTCTTTGCCTCCACCCTCTGTCTGAGATCCCTGATTTCCCTTCCATCTGACTGTCTCCACTTTATCTGACCATCCATCTATGCCTCTACCCACTGTCTATGCCTTTTTCTCTGTTGGATCATCCATCTTTGCCTCTACCCACTGTCTGAAATCTTTGCCTCCTCCTCTATCTCTCCTCCCCTGACTACCCACTTGTCCTTCCATCTTGTCTGAGATCCCTGCCTCTTTCCATCTGACTATCTCTCCCCTCTTTCAAGTCATTCCACCTCCTCATCTGAGAGTTTGTCCCTCTTACACCTTACTACTTCTGCCTCCACACTTTTTGTGCCCAGCCTCTTTCTTCAGTCTGACTGTCCATCTATGCCACTACCCTCTGTCTGACCCTTTTTGCCTCCCTCTTCTGTCTAGCCCAGTGATGGCGAACCTTTTGAGCTCAGCGTGTCAGCATTTTGAAAAACCCTAACTTAACTCTGGTGCCATGTCACATATAGAAATTTTTTGATATTTGCAACCATAGTAAAACAAAGACTTATATTTTCCATATGGTATTTTATATATTTAAATGCC